TTTTGCCACTTTATTCCTCGGGTTTTGTGGACAAGAACACAACATTGTTCCAGGAAGATGGAGCACTGTGTCACAATGCTAGAAACACCCAAAAGTGGCAGGAAGAAAATGGTATCCAGAGGTTGCCCTGGCCGAACCAATCTCCTGACATGAACCCCATCGAAAAATTTCTGGGCCATACTCGACCGGCAAGTCAAGAAACAACCAAAGAAAAACAACTTCGAAGAGCGATCTACTCCAAGTTTTGTAGCAAGAGTGGACGAAAATCTCACAATCTAAAATTGACGAGATGATTCTCATGATGCCCCAAAGGATCAATGAACTCCACGAAGCGAAAGGAACATCTATTAAATATTAATTAAATTATAAATATATCAATTCATGTGAATATGACTGAAAAATTTAATTTTTTCTGTAAAGGTAGTGTTTATTTACTTGTGACCATGCTGTGTATTTATATTAATCATTATATCGAAAAATTAACTCAAAATATATATATATTTTAGGAAAGAAGTTGATCCATGAATGTTAGGGTTAAGAGCTATCGAATGGAGAGTGCAAGGTCTTTATGTGAATTAGGCTTAGCATTTTGAACTGAAAAAGTTTGTGATTTTTTATAATCTTTTGCATTTAAATTAGTCATTTTAACTTCAATAATTTAGCATAATTTTATATTTAGTTCATAATAAAAATATGATTCAGTATTTAGAATGTTTGTTTTTGTTTTTGAATTTCGCGCAAAGCTACACGAGGGCTAGTTTTGGGTCTTGTATATTACTTGAAACCATAAGGAGAGTACGTGATTATTAAAAAAATTTGCATTTTATAAATGATAAAATGTTTTTAGGGATTTTAAAATAATGTACTAAAACATAAAAAGTAATAAGTTCGAATCTGGAACAAATATAATTATCATAATCATTTCTTATAAATACCATTTCCTAATGTAATTTTCCAAGATATTAAAGATCATAATGCAAAAAACTAAATTTATCAAAAGTAACAGGCATTTATGCAAGTTCTTATGAAGTTTCAAACAATTTCATCCACTAGTTTTATTGTTGGAATAAAATATAGCAAGACTTGTGTTGGCTACTCAGAAAGTTAGTAGCCGGTGGTCATCGGGTTAAGGGAAAGATAGTACAAGAAACATGTAGCAATGGGTTCAAGAGAGAACCAGACAGGGCACGATGAACAACATTGAGATGCCAATCTGGGAGAACAAAAGAACATGGAAGATGAACAAGACGAAAGTAACGGAAAAAGGAAGGAAGTAATTGGGGAGGCAAAGGATTTACAGAATCAGGAGAAATGGAATGTGTTTGATGGAGCAGCCTGATAACTAGCAGTCATTGACACGAACAAACCCTGATCAAACAACCAGGTAAAATATTCAGACAGATGAGGAACAGAAGGACAGAAACCACAGCAAATGGACACAGATCTGAAGGTAGACCAACGTCTCTGGTACACAGATGATGAGGAAGGTCAAATGGTACAGATAAGGAAAGACACTATGTGAGGAATAAGTCCTTGAGCTGAGGTGAGGGACCGGACAAAAGTCACATGCAAAGATGGTGTTTGGTGATGTATAGATGAAATACGTCTGATCGTGGTTGTCAGAGGAGTGACCTGGACAGAGATAAGGGCAAGGGCTGCTATTCCAGTAAGGCCAGAGGGAATCACGTCTGTCCCGGCCAATACGAAGAAACTAGCAAAACACGACAAGGAGTGGTCTGGATAAGGGAAATGACTCTGGAGATTAGTCTGAGATGAGGATAGGCCTATAGATAAAGGCCCCTCCAATCCAGACTGAATGCATCCACTCCTAGAGCTGAGGGGTATGGAAAGAGAGACCAAAAGAAAAGTAGTTTGGCATTCCAGTGAGTGACAAATGCATCTAAATGTGGTGTTCCTAGGCAAGACACCCACACTGAAATACTAGGGGATGAAGGGACCAATCCATAGGCAAAACTTGGTTGGGATGAGACAAACATTTGTTTTCAAAATCCATAATTCCAGGTAAATGACATGTTATGATGGTTATATTGTAATCATGGGCCCAGTATAGGAGGTCGAGTGTCAGAAAACACAGAGACCAGGACTTTGTCCCCCTTGTTTGATGATATAAACAGTGGAAAAGTTGGAATGAACTATCACCCCCACCCTGTAAGAGCAGGAGGAAATGAGACATAGCCCAACAAACGGCCAAAAATTCGAGGAGATTTTAATGACTGACCACTGCCCTGAAATCTCCCTGGATTCAAAAGACCCTCTGAGAGAACCTGTAAAACCCACAGATCCATTGTGAAGATTCATTAAACAGTTGAGAACTGTTACAATCAGGCCTCCATCTGCTTTGGAAAATACACCCCACCACCTGTACCACTGACCCCTGAAGAAACGGAAAAACGAAGATACGAATGGGAATGCCTGGAAGAGGTTAAGGGACAGGGAGAGGTAGAAAAGGCACGGGGAATTCGAACTGGTGAAAATTAAGATACCAAGGAGGACAAGGAAGAAATGTAGCCTCGTCACATCAACCCTAGACTCCAAAGAATCAGGATGACCCCCAAAAACCGTTTCATTCAGAAACGATGGCCTGACGAAGATCCCTCAAAGGAGACAAAGGGAGATGCACCCTCTCAAGTAATGCATCTCTCCCAAGTAATCCCAACAACATAACAGGTGTTGAGAGACAGCAAAGATGCTGATAAACGAGCCATAATAGACCATGGGAGGGTCCCGAGTTCATCAAAAAATTTAATTGACCAGGGGATGGGCAAAAGTCTTGAGACAACAACTGTAATAAGGAAATAATAAACAAAAGGGTGGTCAGGGCAAGATGAATCCTAGAAAATTGAGATTGATTAAAGTGAATCACAGCCCCAGGATTTGAGCCCCACAGGAAGAGGATGAGATACAAATGTTGGGAATTCTAAAAAGGAATCGAGACCCACTGGTAAGCTAAAAAATATTGGTCCATCAATCAGGTGGGACAGGGCATATCCACACCCTACAGCAAGTGATCATCAAAATGCTGAGCATGAACTCAGATGTCACATGTGTGGGAAAAACATAATAGTCAGAATAAGGTTCTTCACTCAACAAGGTAAAGAAAGGAATCAAGGGCTAAGGATGAAACATTTAAAATTTGACATACCTGTTCAATAACATGTAGAAACTATCTTGACTGTCAGCATTATGTGACTGACCAAAAAAGGCCAGAGCCAGAAAAATAGAGTCCAAATTATCTTCATCCTGAATAAATTCTTCTTCAGAAGCTTGTTCATGGGAAAAAGGAGAACAATCCAACTGCTAAGTAAAAGTGTCCACCTTCGTGTAAATTAAGGCTTGAACTTCCTTAGCAGTTGTTGTCAACCTACATTGCTACGGACTAGTGACATTACTATCTTCAATATTGGCAGGAACTTCATCATCTGCCACCATAAAATTGAAAGTTTGAACTGATGAAGGACTGAAATGCAATCATAATGAAAAAGCAAGCACATGGAGTAAAGTAAACATACATCTATATGCTGTAATGCCAATCAAGAAAGTGAGGATTGTGCTAGAATAGTAGAGGGAGTTACTTGCGCTAGTATAGGTGGTGCAGGATGATTGGAGGAGGGTAGTCACATGATATGCAAATGTTCTGAAATGGCACAAAATAAAGGGGTATAATAGACAGCTGTGCTGTTAGCAAAAAAATTTTTTTAGCAATGCTTAGAGGGCAAATCAAACTCGAGATAGCTTTGGGTGAGGAAGGTAGTACCTTTTTGGAATAAATGACACTAGTTATAATTAATACTGCAAAATTAACTCATAGATTTTCAGAAAACCTTATGTCAACAAACTATACTTCTCAGTTTAATATGATGTCACATGAACAATAGTAAAACTTATTTTTTAACTATTGCAGTTGTAGCCCAATACAATTTTAAAATTCAAAATATTGGAATTCTCCTGTAAACTGTATGTTATTAAAATGTTGTAATTTTTATTTAATTAAAAATTATGTTTTAACAATTTTGCATATAAAACTGCAAAACAATTTTAAAAATGCCAAGTCCTGGATACAATACCTTATTCATAAAAGTTTATCCAAAAAAATGTGACAGAATTCTAAATGACAGCTTAATACTTTATTTGCAGAATCTGTTTACTATTTACAAAACAACCAGGGTGTCAATGTTATGTATTTGATTCTACTAAACTAAACATAAGTAACATTTATAAAGTTATAATGCAACAAAACTGATGAAAGATCTATTTAAAATCCTTTTTCATAAAGCCATTTTTTAACATCCTCTACATAGTCACCCTTAAATCTGACATATCCTACAACCTCATGGACTTGAGAAGTAATTTCTTTTTCATACTTCCTTTCAAGATGCTCCTTGAGATCCTTTTCTAAAGCCTAAAGTAAAAGAAAATAAGATTAATACACTTGACCTAAGATTAACACTGTTATATAATATTCATTGGAAAAAGATAACACTAATATATACATGTAAGTTCATTTATATTTATTCTCTTAAGCAGTTCCTCACTAAGACCAAGCTTCTTTATAACTGCATATTATCTAACCTCAACTGCAAAATACTAGCTAATTCCTCAGTTTTCTTCTCAACCATTATTTTGTCCTTTAGATAAACAAGGTATCTTGTTACAAAACAGTGACATAATAATATACAGGTGTACATTGTAATACATCTCTTACCAGACAAGTACTAGAATAGTAAACTTCAAAGTACCTACCATAAAAGCCCACACATGGAACACTTACAGAAAATAATAATGCCTGAAATGAAATGTGATCCACATAAAAAGTGTATACAAAAAAGTCTATATGCTTATAATACAATAGGAAAGACAAAAATCATATATAGTTGAAGAAAGTAAGAAACAAAATGAATAAACTTTGAATGAATGTTTTGTAGATAATAACTGAACCAGAAGAAAAAGAATACTAAATCAGTAACCTATTAAATATTTAATCAGTATTAGCAACAAAAAGTTGAAACTAATACAAATAAAACAAAGTTTCTTAAATTAAAGAAGACTTTTAGTGTGACCATACTAAACATGATGAAGCATACAATTCTTGTTCCTAAAGTTTCTAATCAAATCTGGAGATGAGATAAGCTGGTTTAACATACTGACATAGGAATGAACCAGAAAATATATTTACATTCAACCAGAAACAGAAAAAAATACTTATATATAAATAGAAACAGTCTTTACCATTGATAAACTTCCATCTGCAGCTTCTTTAACCTCTTTTAACAATCAATTACAGAACTCACAGATAATACAAAGTTTAAAAACCAATAATCAATTTAATGCACACAACAAAGCTGAACAAGCTAAACAGGACATATTTTGAAGGCCCCTGGATGGATGTTTGTTACATTTATTACATCTCTATACAACTGTGTTACTAAATCATACTGTTGAACTTGTTTATAGTTACAATCACGTGCAAGAATCTTTACCTGAAATATGGAAATTCAATAAGAGGGGGAGTATAAAAACACAGTGGCAGACTGCAAGAAAGCATCTACATGACCTAAAGATTGTTTGTAAAGGGAATCTAAAGGTGTGCAAATAGGGAAAACTGAGCTCCAAGAGCTGTACACAAGACATTTTTCCCTGAGAAAGGAGGAAATGGCAAGAAGGAGTAATAAGACAAAGAACACGAGATGGGTAACCCCACACAAATTTCAAGAAAGGGAAACCTGGTAAGGCACTTATGATCTAGTCAGGCAGGAAACAATAACATCAACAAAAAAAAAAAAACCGGGCAAGACTGCTGGTGAGTAGCTCCAGCCCAAGATTTTGATAAATCAGAGGAATGGAGGCCAAAACCCAAAAGTGAGGAGCCCCGACCACCAAATTCCACAACAAAAAAGCTATAGTTGTAGAAAAGGTTGAGGCCAAGGTAACAAACAAGTAGGAATGAGTATCTCCACCAAAACTGTCGATGTCATGATGGAGAACATCCAAGACAAGGTGAAGCACAGACAAACAATAAAAGAATTGCCTGATGGTACGACAAAGGCAAATAGGTTGAGGACGTGTAAAAGACAAAGTAACAAAAAGTGAAGCATCCAAAGTAATAAGAAAACATTCCAGGGACTGAGATTCAAGAAAAACAGAAGTATCATGAAATTTAAAAGCATCACAATGGCAAGGGGGTTGAGGCTGATGTGGATCAGTGAGTAGTTGTGACAGAGAAGACACAACTGTCTTGGAAGGGGGGAGTGTAAGAATACAAAGGCTCCTGAAGTAAAGCAATCTAAGAATGTCACATATCTGAATAATCAGAGATGCAAATGAAGGTGGATGTACCCATTCCTCATCAGGAAGAGAAGAACCAGAAAAAAGGAAAGTGAAGAGATGAACTGGTTGATGTTGTCATTAGATGAAACAGGCTTAACAGAAACAGAATGAGAATAGACCTGAAGGAAAGGGAAATGATTCAAAAGAGTAACAACCACCTGATGTACATTGGCTGTAAAACTGTTGACAGACAAAGTTTCTCAGATTGCTGTTGAAACAACAGAAGAAGAATCCTGAAGCACAGTGTCATGGCTTTGGGAAATAACAGACACATGGGTCTTTGGAGTTCATGATCAAAACAACTCATGAATCAACAATGAGTGGCATTTTCAATTTTTCAATAAGGTGGTTAAATAAACTAGAATTTTTTGTAATCAAAAAATAAAATACTAAGACAAATTAAATGAGCAAGATAAAGAAAAATGAACTCAGAGAAATAGACTAAATGTCAATCTTGCAAAGTTTGAAAGAAGCAAAAGAAAAAATGAGTCAAAATACTAGTGATGTGGAAAAAATTAGCCTGTGTTCAGGTATTTGTGCTCATGGGACATACTGCACATGGATAATGTGTTACCCTCTTATCAGTAGAGGGCTATAGTCTGATGAGACTACATCATATGCTGGTGCAACAAATGTTGATACATGTAGGTGTGGGAGATTTGTTCAAACAAAGAAGATAATGGTTCTTATTTTAAATTCTAGCCTGTTAATGCCTACAGCTGGTCTACCTAATTGGTGGTCATTCTGAAACCATATAAAAAAACTTAATATGGAGAATTCAGAGCAGAGAGGCTTTATGTAACACACAGAAGTGGACATTGATAATTTATTTAAATAATTCCTTTTCAAATTAAGAAAGCAAAACTTATACAATCTTGAAATTTTGGTTATAAATTATATTTTGATGCCAAGATTATTGGCATACATTAATAATAAAGTTGTTTAATTAAATTTTGAAAGTAAACCTGCAAAAGTCATGACATGCACTTTGATCCCCCACCTGCACACATAGGGTTAATGTTCTAAGAATTAGTTTGGAAGTTCCCTTGCATTGCTTTACAAGGTAAAGTAATTTTTGTATCTTATTACTCCTCCGTAATGTATATCATGCTACAAATGCTCTCATCCTTTACTTAACATCTATTGTAATAATACTCAGTTTTTGTTTGTCCTAAAAATGTATGCTCACTTCATTTCAATGGATGTAAATAAAAGGCAGGCATAAATATAGTTTAGTAGACATCTTGTACAACAACATATTAAAAGTTTATCAAAGTTTTTAAAAAGTTCTAATGTTAGATTGTAAAATAACATTACAAATTTATTTGTTGATAGTATTAAAAGGTATGGGAACGTTTAGTCCTAACTAAACTAAAGCAAAAAAGATACCCAAGTTACAGTATTAATTTATCTCTACAAAATACAGTCTGTACCCAATAAAGGCTTAAATTAATGTTAACCTTAGACAAGTGGACTTGTAGATTTCTGTGTCTGCAACTAGAATTCTTTTGTATTATTCTAGAAATCCTGTATTTAAAAAAGTACTGTTGCAATAAAGACACTAATTTGACTGCAAATTTTTTGCAGGTCTCTGCTAGTAACATAACATTAAAGGCCAACAAGAGACCTCATGGTGAACCTAGGCTGTCCAATCCACTAAATTAAACTAAATACTAAAAACACTTAAAGCCATCCCTTATCATTTAAATATTTGTCAAGCCTTCCCTTAGAATCTTATAAATTAATTGCATCTACCACATCTGAAGACAACATGTTCCAAAGGCCAACCACTCTGTTAGAAAAATAAAGCAGGCTTAGTTGAAGATGACTTACACTGACCAAATTTATATACGAAAGAAGATGATGCATCAACACTATCAGTTCTATTAAAGATCTTAAACACCTCATTTACATCTCCTTCTACTCTTCAGTTTTCAAAAGAAAAGTTCAGAAATCTTAACCTCATATGATAACCTTTCCATACTAGATATCATCCTAGTAGCTCTTCTTTGAACACTTTCCAACAATTCAATATCTTTACTAAGGTAAGGTGCCTAAGACTGAAAAAAGTACTCCAAATGTGTCCTAATCAATGACCTATACAATGACATTGTAACCTCTTTAGACTTGCATTTATTATGTCTGTAAATGCAATCTAAAATCCTGTTTGTCCTCCAACTATCAACAGAACACTGCCCGGATGGCTTAACAGGCTGATCAACCAGAACACCGAGATCTTTTTCTTCCATAACATTGTTTTAATTATTTCCATCAAAATTATTCTCATAATTCAAACTATGATACTGCAAATGTATTACCCTGCATTTAATATAATTCAAAGCCTCTGCCATGTATTTGCCCAGCTCAACAAATAACCCAAATCTTTTTGTAAAGCAGCAGCATCCTCCTCACAGCAAGGAACATCCAAAATTTAAATCTTATAAACAAATTTAAATAATTTATTAACCATTCTTTTATCTTTGTCACTGATGTAAAGTAAAAACAGCAAAGGTCCTAACACTGAGCACTGAAGTTCCCCTCTTGTGACATTAATTCAATTTGAATAATGCTTTCTTCCATCTGGCCAGTTTTCTATCCAATGAACCAAGCTATCTTCCAAACCTACAGAAATAACTTTTTAAATAAACCTTTTATGTGGCACCTTTTCAAATGCTTTCTGAAAATCCAGAAACAACAAATCCTCACCTGTACATTAATCTACATATGCAGTAACCTTGTCAATTTATAACATCATTAACAGTTGAATTCTTTATCTTTAGATCATAAAATATATCAAACATTTATGGAAAAGGTAACTTTCATATTAGTAATTGTAAAGCAAATACATACCCACAAATTCCCTTCTACAAGTCGCACAGTTGTTAGAAATCGTGGTCCCCTTATTTCCTTCTTCAAATATACTGGTAGCATATGATTTTTTGTTCTTGATATGAAGTATGGCAAATCAGGAGTTAATTCTGAAGACAAATAAGCAGTGGGTTGTGATTATAAACAGAAAAAAATATACAAGTACAAATAGAAGTCTTCTGATCTGTACCTAAACTATAATGGTATAAACAAATATTATCATCAAACTATAAGTATCATCTAAACCATCAATACCTAATTTCAATGCCACCAAAAACTTTATTTTCATAAAATTACAATAATTGAATGCAGTAAATGACAAATTATGCAGCTTTAAGCTGAGCTAAAGTGTTCGCTTTGTTACATTTAGTAAGTTAATGCAGGACCTACACAAATAATACATACTGTTTAGTTCAGATTAGGAAAGAACACAATATACACATTCTACATTTCATGCTCAGTTGATGCTGATTTCAGCCCTGTTTAAATACTTAAATTTATTCATTCAAATACAGACTTTTGGGTGGAAATTAGAAATGTACGGGTAGTAAATTCTGGCCGATTACTGGATGCGGGTACCCGGTCACTAAGCTTTGGCCGGGACCAGGTGTCAACCAGAACCAGGTTCTCCCCTTGCCTCCCCCCCCCAAAAAAAACACACACAAAAATTAGAAGAGACCTCAGTTACTCAATGATGAATAAAATGTCATTTATACTTAACATAAACATTGTACATGTAGAATGACTTAAATGGCTGTGGTGATTTTCAACTGCATCTTTACACAACAGCAGCTTTAAATTGTTTGTTTGATTCTATAAACTTTAAAAGACTATATCAGCATTTTACCCAAGAAGCTTATTTTTTAAAACAGAGAAATAGATGAGTATTTCTAAGGCTAAGTAATTTTATGCAAAAATTAATCATGGTATGACTTTCAGTAGAAAAAGTTGTATCTTAAATGGTCACTGCATGTGTTGAACTTCAAAAAAACAAAAGTACTATATGCACAAGAATGACTAGTATACATCCAAACATAACAATCTCTTTAAATAACAGATGAAATTCCTAAGAAAAATGTGATCATCGTAAATGGAGCTCACCTGCTGGAGGAATCCAGCCTGCAGGACTTGGAATTTCCTTTTGCTGAGGAAATTTAGGAATTACAGGAAGAGGAAAAAGCCTCTCCACAAAATGCCATCTATCTTTCACTTCTTCCACTTCTGTATAAAGTGTGCTTTTTTTGGCTGCCCACACTTCACTGTGCTCTAATGCTAATTTTTCAACCTTCTGTTCATCATTTTCTGTTTTCTGATGATATAAAATTTAAGATATTAAGTGAAACAATAAAAAATAACATGTTGGGAAACAAAATCTTGATTTTAAAGTTTACACTATTCTTTTCCTGAAGTATTTGGACTTTGTTTTGGTAATTAGCACCATTACATTACCTTCACACAAGTAAGAATATGTGGATAATGAAATTCTGGCTTAATAAAATAAATAACTACCCTGTATGATATAAACTTCAGTGTTCTTTATTTACTATATGCACTTAATTCTGGGGGAATTACTGTATTAATTACTCATTACTTTTTAATAACAATTATAGTTTTCTTTTAAAAGATATTTAGATGGTGTGTTTAACATGTGTATTCCTGCCAGTTTTCATGGCTTCAGGATGACATTTCAAACTCCATTCATGGTCCTTTATCAGGTCTGATGAAGAATTCTGCATGGAGTTTAATACATTGTCCTGAAATGAAAAAACGGCACATGAAGTCCACAGAAAATTCAATCCCAATGAAGTACTTACTATATTGAATTTTCTGTGTCAATCTCTGAAATAAATATAAACCTTAAACATTAGAGCTGGGTGATTAATGGAAGTTGATAACTGATTAATCATCAGACTCATTAACTGACTACAACCAACCAACTAATTATTCTCAAAAACTTGAATAATTGGAATGATAAAAAATTGTAATAACTGAAAACACTAATTTCAATTATTAGTTGATTGTTTTAATGAGTTATAATACTGTTTGATTAAGCTGACCAACTTGGAGTTAATAAAAAATAATGATGATGAATCATAAGAGTAATATTTCAATTACTTGGATAATAATAATAATTGAATACATATTTACCTGAAACACTAATTTCACTTAGCTAATTATTTTCATGGCTAGAGCTGGGTGATTAGTGGTACTTGTTAAATGATCAATCAACAAACCCATTAATCTATTAGTATAGTGTTCCTGACAACATGGTATGCATTCCTTATTAAGTGGTGATCATATGAAGACAAAAAAAGAGGGAGGGGGATGCCAACTTTAAAATTTTGTAAGCCATTGCATTATTCTAACATGATATTAATCTCCTTATTTTCAGCTATTTTGTTTTTAAGGTAATTTTCAAATTACCCTTTCTTTCATATAATAGAAATCTGCTGGAGATGGCCATTTGTGTATTTTTTGAAAAAAAAAAGTTTACAAAAACTTTTGGCACAAATATTTTTTAAACATAACTTGTTGAACATTTCCTACTTGGTGAATAATGAATGTCAACAACAGGCAATCACATGGTCAAAATATTTTGCATTTTTAAATATACAGTAATCACTCACTGATCTTGTTTAGGTCACATTAACTGGCAAGTAAATAAGGAAAACATTTTTTATCACCAATTAACAGTAATAATGTTTCTATCTAAAACAAATATTGATTACAATTAGAAATATTTAAGTAACCAGCAGGTCAATTTATTTATGTATATTGTTTGAATAGGACAAACATAAAAATAATATTCAATAAATAAAGATTTGAGTCATTGGAATATTTTGCAGTTACATACCTCACTTAACTATGCTTATTTGATTTGATGATGAAGAGTTGATTTGGTGAACATATAAAAACCCTCATGTTTACAAGCATTGCAACTCAAGCTATATCTACTAAAAACACTGTAACTGGAAACAAAGAACCAAACATGAACAAGATACCTTTATTAAACCTGAATACATTTTCACCCATGTGACTTCTTTGTTTCATACTGTATATTCCTGTGTCTACTGTCTAAGTAAATTACTTATATCTGACTATAACAAAAGCTCCTCCAAACACTGTAATTTGTTACTGTATCACATTTGTCAGTTTTCTTTGTTACCTATTAATTCTGTCTCTATACTTTCCCAATTTTGTTCTTAACAAGCTCAGAATTAGTATGATCCTTGTTTAAAAAAAGAAATGAATTGCAAAGTTATCAAAAGAAAATAGTAAATTTCCACTTTATTTAACACTCAAGTAGCCCAAGAGTTGGCAGTGGATGCTGTCAGCCAGTTATCTTTTCTCAAGTGAGCAGTTCAAATCTATGGTAGTGACAAATAGCCAAGTCAATTTGCTATAACAAAGACAGGGCAAACAAGTTTAGTAGCAATAGGAATCAATCCCTAGACTATCAAATCATTATCCCCCCCCCCCTCCAAAATCACCAGGACATTCTGGTCCAAAGCTAAAAAATCTTTAACCACAATAAAAAAATTTACAATGATAAAATCAAGTTTTGATACCCACAGAGGGTATATAACCAATTTTATAACTGTGTGTGTAGTAAACAAATATAATAGCAATATTTCAATTATATACACAGTTGAAGTAATCAGAAAATATAATTTTGATCAGTTCTTTTGTTATTTAGATTAACCAATTGTTAGAATAATCAAAAATGGTAATAATCAGACACACTAATTTCAATTAGTAAATTATTTTCATGACATTAACAAATTTAATTATAATTTTGGATTAGTTTATGTGACACTAACTGATGTAATTGATTATACTGATTGAGTTAATTGCCCAGCCATACTAAACTTGATCTGTCAGTAAAACATTTACTTACTGATTAAATATTAGTTGAATGTTTTTTTTAACTTACAATTTTTAGCTCAGTGAAGAGGAGTTTCATGTTTTTAGCTATTTTTATTGTTTTAGTTGGAAGGAAGTCATGTCTCCACACTTTTTCTACACATTACTGTCAGCACTTGCTGTATTTTATCGTATATATCATGATTATATTGTAATTACACCAATTACTACTTTATCCTGTGTTTATAAAATTGAAAAACAATACTCCCAAGTTCTTGGAAGAACTCTAAAACAATGGTAGGAGAGATCACAGTTGGTGGTGCATGTCATGTTTTTATAGCATTCTTCTGGGCTCAATTGCTAAAGTTGTGATAAAATAATATTTTGCCAGTCAGTTAACTTTTATATATATTTTTTTTCATAACAAAAATAAAATATCTAAAATACAAGATAGAACTTACTTAATGTACATCATAACAGTTGTTGTCATGCAATTGATTATATATATACCACCTAGATCTCTCCTATGCATGTCATATTCCAACTGGCCTGACAAATCCAGGTATTGGGTGAAATGTCTTGTCAGCACTGGATATGGCAGATAGTGTGGTTAACTTATTATTACATATTCTTTGCTTCCACTCAAGTTCTCAGAACAAGTATGATTTATTGTGAGCACAATACCAGAAATTAAAATCAGAATAAAGATTAAAATAACGTATAAAAGTACCATTTTAAATATGTTTCGCAAATAATTCATGTTAACTTGATTTTTACAGTATGGGCTGGAAAATTTTCAAACCATGGGGATAACTGTCATCAGGCATTAGCTAGTATCCCATAGTTATGGGTTATACCTAGCTAATTCTATGTTACAACTACGACTGCTTCCATAATTATTAAAACCTGTTAGCCAAAACGATTTTGCAAGCAATGGTTTAAGAATAACTCACAAGTCTGTGGACATTATGATAAACAAAAACTAATTTGAAATCATGCTGCCTTATATAAGCAGGTCTCTAGGTTTCAAAATCAGTGCCAATAACATAAAAATAAGGAACAACACAGGCCAGCTAGTGCCTGTTCCATTTAATTTGACAAACAGCTATCCACTCCCGACTCCCCAGATTGTCATTAGGATTGAAGGCAATCTATTCCAAAGGCTGATCACCTTGTTTGAAAAACAAAATTATTTTATTTGCAGATGACTTTTACTCTGCCAAATCTTAAACATATGTCCTCTAGTACTAACATTCTTACCATTAAACATGACCAAAGATGATGAAGCAATTCTATCTATTCCCTTTTTAATTTTAAACACTTCAGTCAAATGCCCTCTAATCCTTTTCTTCTCAAGAGAAGATAATTTTAAGGAACTTAACCTGTCTTCATTTGACAGACCCTCCATCCAAAGAATCATCATCATCATAGAAGCCCTCTTATCAGCCCTTTCCAACAATTCAGTGTCCTCCTTAAAGCATATTAGTCTAAACACAGCATAAACAGAGATCTCCTCAAAGAAACAACAAACTACTTTGAATTATATTTAATATTCCTACAGATAAAATTATAAAGTGTATTTGTTTTCTCATTGGCAACAACAAATTGCTTGAAAAGCTCAAGAGATTAAAAGACCAAAACATCAATTAACCCATTTCTTTACCTTGTCATTGAACCTATTCAAAAAGTTGCTCTTAATCAATTTGGGTATATATAAACCATTACTTAGGCATACTTTCATATAATCATACATAAAATATTTTGCATTATGTATTATAAATTGTTCATTATTTACATAAATTAGCATAAGTTGGTCAAAATTTTAAAGATCAAATAGTAAGGCATTGGGTTAAAATTTCCAACAAAGTGATAATTGGAGTTTAAACAAAAGTACCCCACATGCATTACTTTGAACTTAGAAAAATTAAATGCCATCTGCCATTTATTTTTACAGTTCACCAAATGATCCAAATACCTTTGTATAAGAACAGCATCCTCCCCACAGCCAATTACACCTAAAAGTTTTAATATCATCAGTAAACTTGACCAATTTGACCATTCACTTAGCAATATCATCAATGTGCATCAAAATAAGTAAGAGTCTTAGCACAAAGCCCCAAGGTACTCCACTTCAAACTCTAATCTACTTTGATTGAACTCCATTTACTACAATTCTTTATTTTCACCCATCTAACCAACTAATCAATTAACCCCCAAATCCACAAAGATAATTATCTTTATTAGTCTTTTATGTGGCACTTTGTCATCTCCCAAAGTCCATACCTTTACATAAGCATGAGATTTTTGAAACAGGCAGAAGATTTGGGTACAATATTTTCTGCTAGCTGTTCAACAAAAGTGTAAATGTTATGTGGCTTTGCAAAGCATCTTTAATTAATCTTTCTAATGCTTTTACCATAATGAAGTAAGACTAATTGGTCTATGAATACCTGAAAAATGCTCATCTTCCTTAAAATACAGATGTAACATTAGTCAGCTTCTAGTCTTCTGGTTAGAGCTGGGCGATTAACTCGATTGATCAATACAATTACCTAGGAGCATTGATTACATTAACATAAAATAATTCATTCATCAAAATGATGATTAAATTAATTAATGTCATGAAAATAATCAACTAAAAGAAATTAATATGTCTGATTATTGCAAGTATTCTCATTATTATTTTTGACTAACTTACAGTTGTTAAGTTTAATCAACTAGTATCATACTCACAAAAACCATCAACTAATTGAATTTAGTGTTTCCAATTATTACTATCTTCAATTATTCTACTTTCCAACTCGTACACGAGAACAACTGATAAGCTGAATGTAATCAATTAATGAGCCTAACAATTAAAATTCATTTTTCTGTAAGAGTTTCCTAGCTAATATTGAGTTTATGTATATCCATAAATCTAGTTATTAATCAGGATCTGGAATACCATTTACATATTCTATAAAAGTTGAAAAAACAAAACAAATAACTTTAGCAAATCAACCACTGCATAATCTTCTGTAATACTCCTTCCTTCAGTATCCTTCCCAATTCCCCTTTTAACATTATGCTTACCTGTAATGTATTTAACAAATACTTATTGTTGTTGCTTAAAAACTGTTTTTTGTCTATAGATTTGTTAAAAAGAACTATTCACAGTAACAAATGATATATAATGTTATGAAATCTGCCCTGACTGAAGCTTGAACTTTACATGTAGATGCTAGGTTAAATCAGTTCTCTGACACCAGTGCTTTACCAATTGGGCTACTGTACTAGGGTTCAAGTTCCAAACTTATACTTGCTCAGTATTATTTAAAAGAGGCAACTTATAACAGTTGAATCCACTTCTCCCAGCTAAATATATGACTTCATTAAGAGAAATATTGTAAATTATAGGAGAGGCACAATTGTATGTTATTTTTCTTCCACAAACATAACAATAAAATACAGTCCCATTTCTTCAACCATAAGTAGAATCTTCCTCTGTTCAAGAGAAAACTAAATTTGACTAAAAGGCATACATACCTTCACAAAAATTAGAAGAAATTCAAGAATATTAGATATTTTCAGTTTTTAAGTTATATCAGGACAGTTTATACATTTACCATGGAGTTAATAATTTTACACAAGATTATTACATGTCACATATGGCTATAGTGCTGGATATTATTTATAGTTCACCTCACATCAAAAAATACTTTTGCAGGTGATTCAGCAATCAAAATGAGAACAGAATATGTAATAATTTTAGGATTCCATCTAAGATTGAAGGATACTTCACACAGCACATTCACAAAATATTAGAAATTTTATGTACAGATTTACTATTTTATTTTTCAGAATTTGTAGTGCATATTGGAGGGATTTAGACATTTTGACAATAAAGTTTTTACAAAATTACCTTTCCTCTAAAGAAAAAAAAACCAGTAGTACAAAAAATAACAGTAAGAATTTACTAATATATTATATATCTACATGCATAGCAGTTTATACTAAATGTCTATGATTTTCAACAAACAACTTCATTTGCACTTTAACTACATACTTTTGAAAAGTTTTTTTTGCTGTGTTGATCCTCAATAGCAAGCCCTTAACTGAAACAAGCTAAATAAAGAATCTGCAGTATGAAATATTAAAAAGTAAAACCGGAGTGTCAGTTGAAAAAAGCCTCATTTCAGTCTGAGAGATGAATGACAAAAACAGTTGCATTTATTTGACATCAAATTATAACACATTAAAAGTAATATTTTAAAACTGAAAAAAAAAACTGTTAAATACAATTGTGAAAATACTACTCACAGAACATTTTAAAAAACAATCATCTTTGTGAAAAACAAATATTGTAAATGAAGGTATGATCAGGATACAGCTGGCAACATTATTATTTATTACCCATCCAGCTAATTAGTGAAATAAAAGTACATTACATCACTTGCATAACATAGTTTTGAAAATATGGGCTGTACCTTACCTAGCTGTGGTTGCCACCTATACAAATCTAAAATATGAAACACCTCCATTGGTTTTGATAATTTTCAACATTTAAAGTCAGAAATTAAGAATTAAAAACACAATGATGCACCCTCAGCACAATCAGTAACAAATAATATTTTCTTTTTACCTGAAATGGAATGAAGTTCCATAAAATACATAGCAATATGCAACTCTATAACTAGTCCATCTTCAATATTTATATTATCTTTACCATTCCAATAAAAACAACCATAAGGTATTTACAACTCTTTAGTGTCACATATTTAGAATATAAAAAGATTTTGACACATTTCTTAAACCTCTGATACATTATGAGTTTTAAAACTCACTGGATACTTGGAACGAAATTAAGTCTCTTAACTTTTCATAATATAAAACTAAGCTATGCTGACACGCTGAAAATGGTAGTGATAAAATCCCATTCTGATAAATTTTGACTGAGAAGTAACTCCCAAAGTTTACTGCAGTAATTTCTGGAATGAATCATAGAAAAATTATTCCACATAAAATTACAGCAAATACATGAAAATTAAATTTTTAAAACTCCCTAAATTGTAAACAAACAAAGAAACATATAAAATGTTTTTTACACAAACTGAAAGTTGAGTTAATGACTTCTAAAAGATTGAGCTCTATGTCACATACTTTACTATTTTACATGCATAATCCTTATTATGTTGAGTATGTCACTAGGCCTACAGACTATGACGAGCTAAGGATTCAAACACTGCGCTATTTCTGTAACTGTAAGTTAACTTCTGTAACGTAACTGAACTGGTGTATTATAACTTGAGTTTTACTTTTATTTTCAATACTTTTCTAATTATCAGTGAAATAAACATATAATAACAGTATATACTTGCCCCAGCAACGGAATTAGAAATTCTTCTTTGTGCAACAATTCTACTAGCATGTTGTGATGTTTTATAGCATACTATCCTTGAAAAACTCGCCTTTATCGCAGAAGCAGCCATTTTCGAATCATGATTTGTTTTAGAGTCCAGTTCGTAGGTGTTTTACCTCACCTATACGTACAAAACAAAGTAATTTAGATCGGTCAAAAAAATATTAAATATCAAAAAAAAAAACACATATGTTTATAAACGTATATCCTAGTCATATTAAACAACATCTGTATCATATACGAAATAAATGCGCAAAACACTTTTCAGGTGTTATAACTAATCTTGATTAGCTGTTTATACATAAAAAAACCACAGACAAGAGCTTATAAGAATAAACAGTCTTGAAACAGACGAACAGATAGGTAAGTTAGTTTTGTGTTCTTGAATTTCGCGAAAAGCTACACATCCTATATCTGCGATAACTGTAGAGGGAATGCAGCTAGTAAACATAACATTTGATAACAACAAGGGACCTGTTGGTCTACCTAGGCTGTTCCATCCGCAAAATTAAAAACAAACTATTAAAAAACTCAGATACCACCCACCGTTAACACTTTTTAAACCTCGTAATGAGGTTTCACAGTCACTCTTATAACGCATCCACTGTCCCAAATTGCGGTACGCGATTATCTTTTATTTTTATTAGGTGTGACAGGATACAAATCACAAAACTTTACTCCACAGTGCGGCATAATGTGAGAGGATGGGGTCTGTGAACAGAACCTGACCGTCTCAGGTCGCGCACAACGACTCGACCGCACACCAATTACGACATCGCGATAGCTATTGTTGAGTTCTATTACATTAATGTTTAATGACGTAATGCTATACCATTTCCATAGGAAACAATTTTGAAGTGGTCAGACTATTGTCACATTGCTATTTCTAGGGGGGGAGGGGTGTCAGGGAGCACATCTCCCAGAACAATATTTGGAAATTTACTGCTATGAAATTGAATCTTGAGTCATTTAAACTACAAATACTGCATACAGACAAAAAAATGTATTGTATTACCGATCAGAGTTGAGCGTTGCCCAATGGTTATCACGGTTTTGGATATTAACTGTCAAAAACTAAATTAACATAACGAGATTAGTGTACAAAAATGTACTTTAATACTTCTTCCCTCTTTTCAGGATCATGTCCATGAATATCATACTGTTACGTCTCCGTTTGTTAATTAATTTTCCGTAAATTCTTTCCGACTAAACTTTAGCGACACAAGTCCTTTCTTAAATAAAACTATTTTATTCTTTCCTAATACAACTTTACCATAC